GATTTCACACGTGTTCAGTTAACGAGAGCCCACGTGTAATTTGTAGCGATCAAAATCCAACCAGTCTGTCACAGTCTTTCAAATTATCAGTCTGACGACCGTGATGAGAAAAAAATGACCGATCGATCACGTAAACGAGACAATTGGAAATTTACGTGAGAGGACAGTAGTTACGTGAGACCAGTAACTGGCCACGAGAAATTCCAAAGTGATTGCCAATTAAACTGAATGGAACAACAGCTACAAATTATTCGATCGATTGAAGACGTGTTTTTCTACTTTACAGATGACGTTGCAGGTTTCCTGGGTCCGGCATAGGGACGTTCATCTGCTCACCATCGGCCGTTACACGTACACGAACGATCAGCGATTCAGGCCGATCCACAACGCGCAGACGGACGATTGGACGCTGGAGATCAAGTATCCGCAACTTCGGGATAGCGGTTATTACGAGTGTCAGGTCTCGACGACGCCGCACATGAGCCATATTGTATACCTGGACGTGATCGGTGAGAGCTTTTTTTTGCACGTTGCACGCATTCGAATACACATTTTCGGTATGAAAATCGAGGGAAACTGATTCGGTTTGGCATATTTCATTTCTGTCATTTTCACTCGCGATGGAATATCAATACATTGTAGTTCAGTTTAGTCTTTGCCCTTGCGCATTAATGTTTTATATACCGATATGAATGAATGTAAACTACAAAGTAATAGAATATTGATTAAATGTATTATAGTTCGTAGCAAGCCTTGTTTTCATATGTCAATCTGTTGTAAAGAACGGAAATAACGATTTGGAGCATAATCGATAACATCATCATCGTGTAGTTCACTGAAATGCAATTCATCAAAGTACATTTAATCGAAAGATTCTATAAATCAACAATTTTTGCACGTTTGGAAAACACGTTGGGAAATTACGCGAACGAGATGCAGACGAACTCGAAGCCTCAAAATCCGAGACTGAGATAATTCAGCTGGAAACTGCAATGACATTTATGACGTTCAGCCTCCCTTTGATAAGGTGAATTTCTCATTTCTCGACGCTCAGATCACGGGCATCTAGATTTTTGCACAATCGGATCGCGCGGCGTTTCGTCAGCGTGTTGTGCCCTGATGCGATCGACATCGTCGTATATGATTTTAATTAGCATAGGCGATTAACAAAGGGTCTAATTACAACGCCGTACGCAACAATTAGTTAATTCTAATCTGAATCTGCCCCAGTTCCCTAGGCCATTGCGCGAAATTTAAGCCAGCGAGCTTAAATCCTGGCACGGTGCCAATTGAACACCTGGGATTGGTTGATACCGATTTCCAGTTAAGCCACGACGTCGAACAAGGGTTTGATTACGCGAGATTACTTCCCCAACTTCGAATTCCGACTGGTTTAAGCTCTGTTTTCTATTCCTCGCGAAATACACGTACACACATACACGGAACGGCGTACACGAAATACGCTAATCGTTGCTAATTCTATCTTCTTAATCGGTATTTATACCCGCGGCGCCGACCCTTTATAACCCCGTGCAAACGGATTGCGTTCCACGATTTATTCCTCTGTCAAATGTTTATCCCTCTGATGCCGGTACGCTAGATGTGTCAGATTTAATGCTTTCTTTCAATTTTTCATCAAACAATCTAATCTTAAGGTATTTTAAATGTAAATAGGCAACGTAGGTACTAGCGGGGAAATTTAACTGCCTCGGATAATGCACAGGATTTTCAATAAATTCGGTGAAATTTAAATTTTATTGCTCGTGCTGAATTTTCATTGATAAGTATTTACATTTGCTAAATTAATTCGTTCGCTGTGACTTGAACGGGAAAGATGTGTAAGTAGTACAGGTCATTATAAGTCAGACAAAGAACTCGAAGGAGTGTTTCCTATTAGTATTTCATTTTTCCCCTTTCTTCTTGCTCTATTTATTTATCGATTAAATTAAAAAACAAGTGCATTCATTTATTAAATTGATGTGTGCTCTGCAACATCTACAAGAAAGTACATGTGTAAGTAGTACAAGTTATCATAAGTCAGACGCAGTACTCGAAACGGTATTCCATTCTTCATTTTTGATTTATTTACAAAGGAACAGTAATTATAAATTTTTCAATTTATACTTGTATGTTTAATTATTTTTAAATAATCTCTATTTAAATCAGAGTACTGTCTATAATGGAAAGAATTGTCTAACACGTGCACACATAAAGGAAAACCGTTCACGGATAAATTTTCACGGCTACTGATAATTTCGAAATACATAAACTGTTCAAGATTTATGTCCACACGATATATCGGTTTCGCTTCCCCCTGACCGCCGCGCCAGCCCCATAAAGCTTAGAAACTTATCTGGGTTCAGCAATCAACGCTCTGCAATCTAGAGAAAGTGTTAGTGCTCAGCCAGCAGATGCCTCGCGTGGCATACTTGCCTTGAAGATATCTATCATTCTTTAACCTAAAATTCCAATTTTGGTTACCGGTCTGCGCCCTCGTTTCGCGTAAAATTAATTCCATTCGTAATATCAAATTAACATTCCGTTTGGCTCTCTCTCTCTCTCTCTCTCTCTCTCTCTCTCTCGAGTGATTTACGCAACTCTCTTCACAACTGCGTGAAATACGATAATTTATTACCGGAGAAAAATTATTACCGTAATTACAAAAATTAGTAATTTAATTAAAAACACAATTAATCCTACTCGTAATTCTGTTTGACTTGAAGTCTTTGACTTGGTTATCAAACGTACATTACAAAAATTATTGTAGCAATAGAAAAAGAATTGTTATTACGTAGAACCTTGACGATCTTTCCGTAACGAGCAGTTACTCAAAAGAGAAAAACGATCGAAGCGTTCTCCATTTCGAAGTATTTTGTGGAACAGAAGAAATCGTTTGAATGTTCCAATCCTCGAAAATTTATCCTTGATGGGGAGGGGGGGGGGGATAAATTGATTGAAATGACCGAGAGAAGTAAAGAGACGAGTCCGCTGGACATTCGACTCATCTCTCGACATGCCAAACGAATCTTCGTCGATTCGACCCTCCAGAACTTTTATAGCATAGGGTCGCAGGAAATATCGTACTTTTTCTCTTCTATTTTTCGCGAATGGGCGACGAGAGGATGCTCGAGCAGCGCGAGAACATGAAGATCGCTTGTCATTTCCTCTTTCTACTCTTCTCGAACCGATCGATTCACAAAAAAAAAAAAAA